TCAGCTTTCCTGCTCCTCTGATGCTGCTTGGCCTGCTGTGTTCATCCAGCTCTACACCTTGTTATCTCAGATTCTCCAGCATCGGCAGTTCCTACTATCTCAATAAAAAAAATTCTGGTTGGTTTGGCCCATTTCTGAATGCTCCAGGACCTGGGTCTGCCTGAAACCTTCCAACTGAGACAGTGAAACATCTATTGCTGCCTACAAATATAGACCTTCTATATATAAACACACCATACATTAAAAGTCTTAAGTTTGGAGTCATACAGCATAGAAACAGGCCCTTCAGCCCACCATGTCTTTGCTGAGCAACAAGCACCAAGCAACACTAATCCCATTTAACTGCACTTATAGAGTCATAGAGTAAGATGAGATCATGAGATAAAGTCAAGACATAAAATTTATCATACATATCCAATGCACATACGGCACATTTTTTTGAGTAACATTTTCTATGCTAATATTTCTAAGCTACCGCAGCAATGTTTCACAGGATTGGTTATTATTTTAAACATTTGGCTGGCATTCTTCCTCAATTAAAAATTATTGCACGCTTCCAAACACTAGTTGGAGTGTTTTTCCATTCTAGATTATTTCTGCAAGTTAACATTTAGTTCTAGATCTACTTCTCATTGTCCGTTTGCCCCAGGCTTTCTCTTACCTTCTTGTCTCCTGGTAAACATAAGGAGAATCATTAAAATTACCTTAGCAGGTTGCTTTTGTGCTTGGTCCAATGTAGTGAATACTGAATTCAGTCATGGGGCATTAAGCAAGCAAATTGGCTGTGTCCCTCCAGCTCCACACTGTTATCTCAGACTCCAGCATCGGCAGTTCTTACTATCTCTGATTGGTCTATTTTCACACTGGTTCAGTGCCATTTCAGCAGTCCAGGCAAGTGTTGAGTTTTGCAACTGTTATTAAGGCTTTAAAGGACAAGAAACTGAAACACTCATACCAGAATTCTTAACTCCTGTCTTGCAGTCATGATGTTCATATGACTGACCAAGTCCAGTTTTGGTCAATACTGATCCTCCGGATGATGAAGGCATGGGAGAATCAGCAGTGGAGCACAACTGAAGGGAAAAAGGAGGTGGCTCGGTTTTCTCCTTTTTTTTGAGGTGGTCCCCAAATAGCACTTCAGTAGCATGAGCATTGCAACACTGCCAGCTAAAGTTTGGATGTTATCTAGGTCCTGGTGTAGTCTTGCAAATGCTGTTTTATTATGTGGACTTCTGGACTTGAACAACTTGGCCAAATATAAGACCTATGGGTAAATTTGCCAACTCATGTGAATTGTGCTGAGCATACAAGGACCAGGAACTGGACTGTAAGAATGGAATATATTGAAACTGTATAAATTACAGCATGGGGAAATCACAGAACAATGGAAGCAAGAACTAGTCTTGAAAACTGGAATGTGATGGCAACAGAAGCATTTGGGAACATGTCAGTTAAAAATGAGTGAGCATTGAGGGTGGATCTTGGAAATAGGATAAAATCTTCAGCCAAAAATATTGATTGGTGGTAAGAATCTAGGACCAGCACTCATAGAAGCAGCCCCAGGCCAGGGACCCAGTGACAGAATAGGAACCCCAAAGTCAGGACTGATCACCTTGCAACTCAATGAGTGATATTCTGTACAAGATGCATTTGGTTGTATAAAGTATAACCTAATCTTATATCTGTCTGTGTGAGTGAGTATCATTTGGAAAGACACACCAATGTCAGATGAATTATAAAAGGAGATGTGGAACCATTAGCAAAGAGCTCTTTTCCTGATTCTATGAATTGATGCAAAGTTACAAATGAAGGGGGGATAGTGGCATTGTGGTAACTTTGCTGAATTAGTAATCCAGAGGTCCAGGTTATAGGAACATAGAAACTAGGAGCAAGGGTAGGCCGTTCAACCATTTGACACTACTCCACAATTTAACATGATCATGATTAATCTCAATGCCATATTCTTGCTTTCTGCCTATACTTCTTGATGCCTTTAAACTCCCAAAGTCTCTTTCTTGAATATATTTAGTGACTTGGCTTCCACTACCTTCTGTGACAGAGAATTCCATAGGTTCACTACTTGTTGAGTGAAGAAATGTTTACATATTCCAGTCATAAATAGTTCTCCCCTGTATCATAAGACTGTATCCCTTGTCTCTAGACTGTCCAACCAGGAATACATCTAGTTTATCCAGCCCTGTTAGAATTTTATACATTTCTGTCAGATCGCCTCTCATCCTTCTAAACTCTAGTGAATATATGACCAGTGAAACTAAGCTCTCCTCATAGGAAAGTCCTGCCAATCTCAGTATCAGCCTGATGAGCCTCTACTCCACTCCCTTGATGATAAGTATATCTTTTTTAGACCAAAACTGTAGTCTATACTCCAGGTGCAGTCTCATCAAGGTTCTGTATAACTTCAGTAAGAAATCCCTACTTCTGAACTCCAAATCTGCTTGCCATGAAAGCCATTTTACCATTTGCTCTCCTAATTACTTGCTGCACCTGCATGTCTACTTTCATTAACTAGTATAGAAGGGCACCCAGATCTCTTTATATATCCATACTTTCCAATACATCATGAGTTAAATAATACTCTTCCTTTCTGTTTTATAACTTCACACTTAACCACATTGTACTCCTTCTTTATCTAAGGGTTCAAGACTGCAATGGCAGCTGGTGGAATTTAAATTCAGTTTCTGTAATGATGAAATGGGAAGTTAGCCTCAGTAACAGTGACCATGACAATTGTCATTAATTGTTTCTGGTTCACACATGCTCTTTGGGAAGGAAATCTGTCACCTTTACCTGGTCTACATTTGACTTTCAACTCATAGCAATGTGGTTGATTCTTCAATTGATTGTCCAATTAGGAATGGACAACAAAGTTGGTTTTGTCCATGATACCCAGATCACAATATTGAATTAAAAAACATTAAGGGCTATTGGCTGTGACTATTTCCATTATAATTCTTGCTGTGGTATCCTGAGACAGTGATGACTGCTCTTCAACATGTACAACTATCTTCCTTTATGTTGCCTTGCCCTCTGACTACCTTTGCTATGGCTCTTTGATGCCCTAGAAAGCCAAATATCACCTTTGTGTCAAATGTAGTAACTCATTTTTCTGTGTTCCATTGTTAGTGTCAAAGATCTGATCAGATCAGAAAAAGTGATATTTGGTTGCATTAGATTTATCCGGCTTTTGTGAATAGAAGGTACTTGATCAAACTTCAATATCATTGGCTAAGAAGCAACATCGCAGCTGTACTGAAACATAACTTCAATGGCCCTGGCACTGATGAAGAAGGGTCCCAACCCAAAATGTCAGCTTTCCTGCTCCTCTGATGCTGCCTGGCCTGCTGTGTTCCTCCAGCTCCACACTGTGCTATCTCTGACTCCAGCATCGGCAGTTCTTACTATCTCAAATACCCTTCTGTAATTTTAACTTCCTGAACTGCCTTAATGATTGCCGAGATAACAAGGTGTGGAGCTGGATCAACACAGCAGGCCAGGCAGCATCAGAGGAGTAGGAAAGCTGATGTTTCGGGTCTGGACCCTTCTTCAGAAATGGGGGAGGAAGGGGGCTCTGAAATAAATAGAGAGAGGGGGAGGCGATGACAGAAGTTGGATAGTGGAGCAGATAGGTTGGGAGAAGACAGACAGGTCAAGGAGGCGGGGATGAAGCCAGTAAAGGTGAGTGTAGGTAGGGAGTTGGGATGGGGGTTGGTCAGTAAGGAGGGAGGGGCAGGTATGTGGGAGGGTAGACGGACAGGTCAAGGAGGTGGGGATGAGGCTAGTAGAGGTGAGGTGAGTGTAGGTAGGAAGTGGGGATGGGGGTTGGTCAGTGAGGTGGGAGGAGCGGATAGGTGGGAGAAAAGATGGACAAGTCAATGAGGCAGGGAGGAGAGGGGGTGCCTGTCTTGGGATGAGGTCAGGGGTGGGGAGATTTTTAAGCTTGTAAAGTCCACATTAAGACCATTGGGCTGCAGGGTTCCCAGGCAGAATATGAAGTGCTGTTCCTCCAGCCTTCGGGTGGCATCGTTGTTGCACTGGAGGAAGCCCAGGATGGACATGTCGTCCAAGGAGTGGGAGGGGGAGTTGAAGTGGTTTGCGACTGGGAGGTGTTGTCATTTGTCACAAACCGAGCGTAGGTGCTCCACAAAGCGGTCTCCAAGCCTCCGCTTGGTTTCCCCGATGTAGAGGATGCTACATCGGGAACAGTGGATACAATATACACATTAGCGGATACGCAGGTGAACATCTGTTTATGTGGAACGTTTTCTTGGGGCCTGGGATGGAGGTGAGGGGGGAGGTGTAGGGGCAGGTGTAGCACCCCCTGCAGGGAAAGGTGCGGAAGGATGCTCTCCAATGGTTCAAGGCAATAGAGCAGTAAATACTCAAGAGATCTGGTCTCATTTGTTAAAACAGCGTGGACCTCTCAAGACTTTCTTCTGAACCTCTAGATTTCCAGCATCTGCAAAATTTTCTTTTGCCAACATTATTTTATACAAAGTTTGGAAGCAGCGAAGGACGGCTGAAATGCACCACTTTTGACAACAGGTGGCTCTTAGCCGTGCGTCTTCAGAAGGACTGAATGAATGGGGCCAACTCCTGTTGGGGAGATTGGTTGAATGGGTCAATGTCAGATGCAGAGTCACCCCTGTTGGTGGGTGTGGGTACTGCAGGCGTTTGCTGTCCATGCCGCGCTGCCCGCCGGGAGATGTAGTCTGCCCGTCCCACCATCTCCGGGGATGGTGAAGGACAAAGACTACACTACCCAGCATCCCGCGCGGAGCGAGCCGCGTTTGCCGCATCAGTCAATGGGCAGAGCGTTGGCAAGTCGCGGGCAGGCTGCGATCGGAAAGCGTGCATCTATTTATTTACTACCTGCTATCTCCGTGTCATGCATTCGTAGGCAGCGATTGGATAGTACAGCCTGTCGGTTGGGTTTCAAGCAGATTTTTTTTTGCTGACTTAATCCGTTCTCTCTCTTTCTGTCTCTCTCTTGCCTTGGAAAAGATGGTTATTCGTGTGTTCATCGCCTCCTCTTCTGCCTCTGTTGCGGTAAGTGGGAACGCAGTCGCCGCACCAGGAGGTTATTGCTTTGGAGGTTACGGTCGTGTTTGCGCTGCAGCTGGACTTCGCTTCAGCAATCAGAATAAATGCAATAGCCTTCCTTTTACAAAGATCTATTGATGCGTTGTATTTCAGTGCAACTGGGATTCAAACTTCAAAAAAATGCTTTCACGTTATCTTGCATTGATATTGTTCAGCTGTATGTACAATGTGTATGGTGCGGTATATAACATAATATATTGACCTACTTCCCATTAGTAATCACTGCAGATTTGTGGTTTTAGAATTGTATTTTGCTGCTGTCACAGATGGAAATAGAGTTCAGATTTGTTTTTCATACGCGACAAAACTTTGGAAATGCATTGTCATCGGTGTCAGAATCTAAAGTGAGTGGTAAGGTTCGATTTGAGAATGTGTTCCGGGTGGATAGATTTCCTCGAATCTGAATTATTGCATTATTTTTCTTTAAGATATACGCCATGCTGACATAATGAGTACTCTCGTTGCCCTCACCCCGTCCTTAGTGCCACCCTTTGCTAAATCTGAGGAGGCACAAAGTGGGGGTAGCACGGTTAATTCTTATTTGCTAAGTAAACGGGGGACAGCTTCTCCGTTTCATACGTTCTAATAGAACGGGGGACTTCACCTGCCTCTCTCCACTCCTTCCCCGCTGTTATCAGAGTAATAAACGGACCTCTGATATTTTAGAGTTGATCTTTCTTTGCACCTTCCCTGTAGCTGTAACACTGTATTCTGCATTCTGCTATTATTACCCTGATGTCATTATGGAAGGTATAATTTGCCTGGATAGCACGCAACACAATACTTTTCACTGTATCATGGTACATGTGACAATAATCAAATCAAATCAAATCAAAAATGTTGGTTCTCCAATGCAGAATGCTACTGAAGCAATTCTTTATAATTTCACCATAGAGAATCAAAATAAGTAGCTGCAGTATTCTCATTTATAACCATGAGATGACTTGTCCCACATGTTTCTAGGATTTTAATTTGTGTGGATGATGAATGTAGAGTTTATTTAGGAAAAGTAGCACTCTTGTTTGGGTCATAAGATTCCAAGTCCCAACCCTGTGGTTTAGCACAAAAATCAAGCTTGATGGTCTAGTGAAATATGATGTAATTTAGGAGCAGGCTTTTGAATGGGTTATTAAGCCCCAGCTGCTTGCTTGGGGTTGATGTAAATAATGGCACATTTCAAAGAAGAGCATGGGAGTAATCCTTGGTACCTTGGCTAATTTCTTATCCCTTTATTAATATCACACACAAAAAAACAGCATACCTGGTCATTATCACATTGTTTGTGGGACTTTGCTACTTTTGGCCACTATATTTCCTGTATTATAGCAGTTATGCTTTAACGTAATTCACTGGCAGTAAAGGGCTTTGAGGCATCCAGTAATCACAAGAACTGGTATGAAAGTGCAATTCCTTTTCTTTCTAAGTGAATAAAATTACTGACTTTGTCTAGTGGATAATTTATTTTTCATTCAAGTGAACTAATCATTTGACTGCATGCAGGGTGTCACAAGTGTAAGGATAATCTCTTTTATGAAGTGCTTTTCCAAACATTGGAAGTGTTAAAGTCAAATATTCCTACCTCAGCACTGGAAGGTCTGGGTTCAGATCCTACCTACTGCAGAGATGTGTTATAACATGTCAAAACAGTTTGTTTAAAATAAAAATCTAAACTGTCATTTTAGATCAGCCTGAATTGAATGCAAATTAATATGTTGTTAAAAACTGGAGTTAGCCTATCCTGTTTGTTAATTGCTTCTACAATCTCTTCCAACTTTTTTGTGCATAATGGTGACTTTACTATTCTGGGGAAGGAAATGGATACACTTGGGATGCTGTAGTGAAACTTCTTTTAAAATGAAATCACCCTCCTTATAAACCATTCTAATTGTTAGCTTTTTGTCAGATTCTTTCCGTATTTATGTTGTGACCCAGATTTTTGACCTTAAAAAAAAGTATTATTAAAATGACTTATTTAAGCAAAAATCTAAGTTTGATTAGAAATCATGAGTATTTTTTATTGTTCTCATGATACAAAGAAATCACAGCACACGTTCGCATACTTATCATGTGGCTTAGGACTGTATTCCAGTAAACAAATCCTGTACTTATGAAAACAACATTTATTGATGCTTGGTATTGAAATATATTGAAATATCCCCAAGTATTTATATCAAAACAAAAACACTTTGGCAATTTCCATGGTCACCACCTCTAAGGTCAGAATATGGTTGCTTATAATCTCTTTTTATTGAAATCAGGAGAATTCTCACTTTTGTACCAGGTTCAAAGATAACACTGATTTTTCACCTTTGACAAAGGTTTTAATCCGAGAGGAAGAATCTTATTCTTTGGTTGTTAAATAATCTAACTTGAACAATCTTTGGCATCATTTTCTGTTTTCATGACCACAGGTCAGCAGCACAGCATAGTTTGACATTCATGTAACTGCTTTGGCAGGCTCATTCAGGATACATGATACTGCCAGTACAGAGGAACAATGGCATTTAGATATTGGTTAAATCTGAGGTTATCAAAAGAAGGCAGAAAAGAAGTTTGATGCTATCACTTGCTAAGGAAGAACAACGTTTACTTACCCAGCCAGATCATCTATTTGATCACAAGATTCAGACATATATTCATAAAACATAGTATATAATAGGAGTAATAGTAATAGCAATAGTAAGCCAGCAATGGGTTGATGTACGCAAGCTATAATTTGTCATTACTTTTCTGTAGTTACACCTTGATTTCATGCCAACTTTCTTTGTTGCTATAGCAGCCTATTTGACTATCAGCATGAATCTAGCATGAAATTATAACCTGAAATAGCATTCTTTCATTTCAAATCTGTTTTCTCCTTTTGCTTTTATGTAAACTGTTATAGACCAAACTCCCTCAAAATATATTAAGAAGATAGTCTAGACCCTAACTTTTTCTTATTTTAAAGGTAAGTGTGAGGCATTGTGTTCAAGTGCAAATCGATTGGTCAAACTACCAGGCTTGAAACAAAACACACTTTATTCACATACTATAATTAAAATACAGACAAAATTAAAGAAAAAGAAATGGCTTAACTGTAACTCTTTCGAAATGCTTAACAAAATAATATGTATAATTAACTACTAATAATTAACTGTTCCAATATAGTAACATCCTATAAACACACCCTTGCAAAGGCAAATTCAGTAAAATAGCTAATCTCACATGCAATTCTAGCAGCAGGAAGAGAACCCCGGCTTTTAGCTGTGAGATAGAGGAGCAAGATCCCAGCAACTGCTACTGAATGCCAAAACTAAGAAAAGTCCTGGTTCTGTGGGAGTTTGACCCTGTCCATTCTGCCTGCTTCTATTGTTCCAACTTACAAAAACCAAGGTCTCAAAAGCTGATTACAAGCTGAGGAAGGGTTACTGGACGTGAAATGGTAACTCTGATTTCTCTTCACAAATGCTACCAGACCTGCTGAGCTTTTCCAGCAATTTCTGTTTTTGTTTCTCTTTACTTTGTTGGCTCAGCACCTCTGTCTTAACCTTTTGTCATGAAAGAGCAGGACAAAATGTACCTCTTACAGCCATAGTTTTGTCACCGAACATAGCTCTATTGGCAGCTATGAAACTGACCTGCAGCTCAAAATTGAAGGCTAAGAAACGACTGCAACAATAGTATTTATTTCCTTAGTGCCCCTTATAATGCTTTACATAAAGTTACTGAATAAAATTTGATATCAAGCTGCACACGGCAATATTAGGACAGGTTACCAAAGGACTGGTTAAAAAGATTTAGAGTGCCTTAAAGGAAAATGAGAGGTGGGAAGGTTTAGTGAGGGAATTTAAGAGGATAGTGCCCAAGCAACTGAAGACAATGACGCCAGTGATGAAGTGGTTAAAATCAGGGACTCACAAGCAGCTAGAATTTGATGGATGCATTGATTTTAGATTGTTGCTAGGCTTGAAAAGGTTACAGGGATAGGGAGTGGTCAGAACCACAGAGGGTTTTGAAATCAAGTAGAAGAATTTAAAATAACAAGGTGTAGAGCTAGATGAACATAGCAGGCCGAGCAGCATCAGAGGAGCAGGAAAGCTGACATTTCGGCTCTAGACCCTTCTTCAGAAAAATTTTTCTGAAGACAGGTCTTTCTGAAGAAGGGTCTAGACCCGAAACATCAGCTTTCCTGCTCCTCTGATGCTGCTTGGCCTGCTGTGTTCATCCAGCCCTACACCTTGTTATGTCAGATTCTCCAGCATCTGCAGTTCCTACTATCTCTGGAAGAATTTAAAATGTTTTGCTACACGAAGAGCTAATGTAAGTCATCAAGGACAAACTAATGGTGAATAAGATTTGATGTGAGCAAAGGCATGAGGAGCAGATGAATGCAGTCCCACCCAAGGAAAACAGATATAATCGACCTTGGCTGGAAGCTCAGAAATTCTTTAGTCTGTTGAAATACCAGAAAACTGCTTGACTGACAATGTTTTCTATTCATTTGTGGGATTTAGGAGTTTCTGATTAAACTAGAATCTATCACCTATAGATAACACAGTATGGAGCTGGAAGAACATAGCAGGCCAGGCAGCATCAGAGGAGCAGAAAAGTTGACGTTTCAGGTCGGGACGCTTCTTCAGAAATTGGGGAGGGGGAAGGGAGCTCAGAAATAAATAGAGAGGAGGGTTCGGGCTCGGGAAGGTAGGCGGGATGGTGATAGGTGAGTGCAGGTAGGGAGTGGTGGGGATTGGCCAGTGAGATGGAAGGCGCGGATAGGTGGGAGAGAAGATGGACAGGTTGTGTCAGGTCAAGGAGGCGGGGATGAGAGGGAGGGTTGGTCATGGGATGTGGCCGGGGATGGGGAGATTTTGGAACTGGTAAAATCCACGCTCAGGCCATCAGACTGTAGGCTCCTGAGGCGGAATATGAGGTGCTGCGCCTCCGATTTGTGGGTGATGTCATTGTGG